CCCCACCACCCACAGCTCTCGTCTAGGATTGTAGGCCAAGGTGGCCAGGCTCTCCCCCTTTAGCCTAAGTCAGCTTCCTCCTGAGTCAGCTTTCTTCACCTGTCTATAAATAGTCACTGCTTGGCGGAGTTCACTCACAATATGATTACAGTTTAATAATACCTCTCAGATAAGGAAGCAGCAAACTTCCTGGAGCTGGGCTGCCGAGGGTTGGTAGAGCTCATGCTCCATCCCAGCAGGCAGAGGCTGGGGCTGCTTTTCTGCAGAAGGAGCAGTTAGATAGAGGTGGGGTTGACTTAAGTCATTGGCCTCAAAGACAAGTCACTGGCTTGGAATTTCTGTCCTGCTGAGTTGCCCCTGCTTTAGGGCAAGAATGAGTATGCTGGCTGATTTTCATTTTATTGGAGTCTTTATTCCCACTGATAATCCTGGGCAGAGCTAAAAAGGTGTGTGACTCTTACCCATTAAGAGCTACCCTGGACGGAAGTTCTGGTCTAGCTAGGGTTAGTGCCTACAACGGTCACTTTCTCTCCAACACTACAGTTGGAGATGCCCTACTCAGGAGAAGCTTGGATTGTCTGGAGGGGACAGGGTTTCAAGAGCTGACTGAACCCCAGCAAAAAAAATTTTTCATACTACCTCCCCCTTCTCTGTCTCTCCCAGGTAAAAACAGACACACTCTACAATCTATAGTTAGACTCATACTGATAAAAAATGTTGTTTGGGGCACCTATAACCTGTTCAAACATTGTTGTTCTTCCCTAGGTGGGAATAATACACAAGTGTAGGAGCCAGACATCCCAGTTTCAAGTTCTGATTCAGCCTCTTTGATGAAATGGCTTCGTAAATTTATTCTAGTTTTCTGACCATCCATATTTTCATGTATCTAAAGGGAATAGTCTATTCCAAAATGGTTCTACTGTATGAAATGTGACAACTTTGGGGGATATGCCTAGTACAGTGCCTGGGATCCAGGAGGTGATCAAAAAGCTGTCATAATTTTCTTTCCAGAAAATAAAAGGCAGGGAAATGTGAGGCAAATCAAGGTCATCTAAGCCCCTCACACTAGTGGGCAAAATGACCAGTATTTCTAAATGTGCAGACCCATGACATAAACATTTCTGATATAAAGACATTTACCAAACATCTACCTAGCCTCAAGAAGAATGGGGAGTAAACAGGTAGAGAAGAGTATCTGTTTGTTCCACCACTGTGTGCTTATCTACATTTCAAGGTCCCTCTTAAAAAAACCAAGTCAACCAGGCCTTGAGTGAACTCTGCTATCAGCAAGGCCAAAGGAGAAACAAAATATCATGCATGCCCTGTTTTTCAACCTGCTGAGCAATAATCTGTCCCCAAAACACCTGCTTATAAAATGGCAAATAATGGTCTCTTTTAACCCAGTACTAGCTGGCCTCCCTCCGTCAACTACTTCAAATCTGGAGGGTGGTGAACTTTGTTCTTGCTGCAGCTTGCTTCCTTCTGCTTGCCAGCAGCCTGCATATATCTGATGGGAGCCAGCCAGAGCTCCTGGCAGCACAAAGTGGGGCAAGCCCCAGCATGACCAGCCCCCAACTGGGCACTGACCGAGGTCTGGGGTAGGAGGAGGAGAGAATTGGGACTAAATTGATTTAGGCTCATTTTCATAAAAGCAACCCAGGATTTCCTTGTTTCAGTAGGCAAAGGGGCAGGACTTTCTGTGTCACTGGGGAGTGGTTCTTATTTCCCTTTTGGACCTATCCTTGATATTAAGTGTAACCTGATTTTATCTATATGTAAATATATGCAAATTAAGCACACTATAATATATTTACATGCCACAAAGACCACCACCCAATTTAAGAATCAGCTACTGGGACACCATTCCCTCCATTGGTCCCTCAACAAATATTTTTTGAATATTTACCTTATACCCAGCACTGCTCTAGGTTTTGAATATGTACCAATGAATAAACTAAAGATGCTATCTGCCCTAGAGGGAGGGCCAGACAGTGAATTTGAAGATGAATAAGCATGTAATTACAAATTATGGGACATGTTCTCAAGAGAAGTGCTCAGGTACAGTAACAGAGAATAATGGTGATGATGGCTTGTCTGACATGAGCAAGCAGGGAAGGCTTCTCTGAGGAGGTGACATTTAAGGATGTGGTAGATTTCAGTGGCAGTTGTCAGTGAAGATCTCCCCTCACTGTTCAGCTAGGTTCCCTTTTCTCTTAGTGAAAGCCTCTAAGAAAAATAAAAGGACACCTCAGCCAGGGCTGCAAAAAAGAATATTCATGAAGAAGGAACTTTTTCTCAAGTTTCTTGCTGTGGATGCATTTTCTTCTCTTCCCCTATTTCTGTCCTCTACCCCCTACTTATCTGTCTTCTGTTCAGGATCTTTCTGCCACATTTGTTTCCCTACAACTTTCCTTGTTTGTACCTGTACCCCAACATGTTCTCTTCGCTGTGAGAATAGTGCCCACCTTGGCACACCCCAGAAAAACCCTTCATGGGCTCACTGTTTTTGAAAATAATTTTTTCTTCAAGGTCTCTCTACAGTCCTGCCCTTGAATCTCTAGAAGCCAAACAGTTTCAACCTGCAGGAGATAAAGCTTACTATTCCTGCTGTGCCAGCACCTAATTACAGTCTTCTTTCTGTAGTCTTTATCTCAGGATTGTTTACCTAAATTACAATTAGTTAGGTTGATATCACTGCCATCCACTCCCTGGTTAAGGAGCTGGCACTTTAAACTGTTGTGGAACCAGCCCAGACATCTCTGGAGCAAGACAGACCTGGGTTTGTCTTCCTCTATTACCAGTTTTGTGACCTTGGGTAAGTCAGGAGCCTTCTTTGGGCCTCAGGTTTCTTATATGCATGATGAGGAGGAGAATACCTACTCTGCAGAGCTGGTATAAGAACTAGCCAAGATGCATGCAGGCTGGGTGGAACAGAGTAGGTGCACATAAATGGAAGTCATTATTAGTAGTATATCAGCTATAAAATAACCAAAGTAGAATTTTGGCAGTGCCTATTTTTAGAAAGACAATTGATTGCTTTGTGAAGAATGGTGTCCAAATGTCCACTTCACCAACCATCTGGCCATACTAGCTCTTTAATCTGTCTATTGCAAAGAACCAGGTGAAAGGAAGGACACATGAAGGGCAAGGACCCCAGAATATCAGATTGGAAGGAATTCTAAGCAAATTCTAGACCAAATCCTTGCTATCAGTTAGGGCTGACTTTAAATATCAGACAGAGGAAAATCATTTCTAATATATACTTGAGTATCTGTCACCAATGCTCCCCAGTGGTCTGTTTCTATGATCACATACACTTTTTTGTAATTACTTCACTCTTCATTCAATCATTAATTCAAACATTATTTAGGAAGTACTGACTATGTGCTGAATATTATTCTGGGCACATGGGACATGGAGGCAACAGGATAAAAAGAGGGAAGGCAGGAGAGAGAGGGGAAAGGGGGGGGAGAGGAGGAGGGGATACATGGTAACAGGATAGAGTGAAGGTGGGGGTCAGGGGCAGGGGTCATGAGGTGAAGAGAAGGCCTCTCAAGGATATGACATGCAAGCAGAGACCCCATGGTTGAGAGGGAATCAGGCATGGAAGGATTGGGGAAGGAGTGTCCTAAGCAGAGGAGACCTCAGTGCAAAGTCCCTACAGCAGAAACAGGCTTGAGCACTCAAGGCACAGAAAGAATGTCCGTGAAGTTGAAGGTAGTGAATCTGCACGTGCCAGAGTATGCAGGGTCTTGAAGGTTAAATTTTATTCTAATTGCAGGATTTTAAACCAGGGAGGTCTGATTTATGCTTTGAAAAGGCCCCTGTGGTTATTCTTGGAAATGTGCTATTTGTGGAATGAATGAAAGTTAAGGAAGTTTTTGTGGGAGTCCAGGTGTGGATGGGCAGATGGTGGTTTGAGCCAGGTTAAGCATAGTAGATGGTGAAAACTGGTGATTCGAGATCTGTTTTGAGGGTAAAACTAATAGGACTTGCCTATGGATTAGATGTGGGGGTGGGGGTGATAGAGAAGAATCAAAGATGACTCCTGGATTTTGAATTTAATAAACTGGGAGGATCATAGTGCCATTTAATGAGATGAGATTATTTGGGAGAAGTTTCCATAAATCATATAGAGTATTGTAAACCAATGTTACCTCAATAATAATTATAAAGTAAAATAAAAGATTATCATGACAACTTTTTCCATGCATTTCTCCTCTTCTAGACCACGAATTCCATGAAGGCAGGCCCCTTAACACTTTTGTTCACTGCTGTATGCTCAGTGCCTGGCACGCCCTTCCTACAGAATAATAAAAGTAATTACGAATAATGAAGTATTTAGTATATACGCAGCACTGTGCACCATACTTCAAATTGTCTCATTTAATCCTTGCAAGTTAACTGTCAGGAAATAATGTATTTGAATTCTCATTTTACAAACAAGGAATGGGGTTCAGAAGGGTTATATGATAGCCTCAAGGTCTCATAGCTACTATGTGGTAAAACTTAAAAACGGTGTCTGGCTCCAAATTTCACCACTATAGTATGAGGTCAAATAGCCTGGCTAGGTGGAGGGATGGGTGAGTGGGTATATGACTGGCAGGGAGGATAGATGGACCCATGGAGGATGAAGGGAGGGAGGGATGAAGGGGTGGATGGAAAGCAACATCACCTGCTGAAAATAATTTGTAACACAGTCTCCCTGAAAGTGTCCAGATTCAAATGGAAAGGATCTACTCCTAAAAGGAAAAAAATAGAAAAGTCAAGGATAAATTCCCATCGGGGTTATTTCCAGGAATTCTGAGGGGGAAGAAGCTGGGGGGATAGGGGGTGGGTGGGAGGGAGGCAAAAAGCTCTAAAAAAATTTGGTTAATTTTTTTTAAACCTTGAAAATTTGAAGATATTTTTCTTTTCAGGGAGCATTTCCTGGTGCTTTTCTCAATGATCTGGGATTACTTTAAGAGCATTAGGATCACATGAAATATTTTTGATGTTTGAAAAATATCTTCTGGGAACCTTGATCCGAATAAAGGCAGAAAATATTCTTGTGAGTTGGACAGCCCAGAACCTGAGCTCCTCAGGAGTGTCACTTATTACTTCCACAGATGAACAAATCTTCAGTCCGGCCCATTAAGATAGTTTCGTTGATCTCCAGTGGGAGCTCTGTTGGACTGCAGCCTTCCTGAGGGAGGATCCTGCAGCCAGGGTCATCACACAATGATCCAGGTCAGGAACCTGGGCTCTACCTAGATCTCGCCCTTTCTCTCACTGAAATGATGAAAACAAAAGCTTGTTAAGCACTTACTGTGCCAGACACTTTTTAAAAAAAATTATTTATTTATGCATACATGAGCTGGGGTGTAGGCTAGAGGTGCAGAGGGTGAGAGAGGGTTCACCAGAGACAGAGTGGGGAGCAGAACAGGCAGATCCACTGAAATACACTGCTGAGGGGAGCAGCAGGCGAGACAGAAGAGGTCTGCTGCACCATGTGGGTTGTTCCCTGGCCAAGGATCGAACGCATGCTGCAGTGGCTGGCAACAGTTTGATAGTGCCACCAGGGAGGCCCACCAGATACTTTTCTAAGCACAAGCATCTCGTCTGCTCTTTACCACACCTGTATGCTGTAAATATTATGATTACCCCCACTTTGCAGATGAGGAGACCAGGGCGGATGGATTAAGTAATTTGGCCAAGTCACACTGATAGGAAATGGGGGAAACCAAAGTGTTCTAGAATCACTGCCTATGCAGTTAAACATTCACGGTGAAACAATCTTCAAATCCCACAAATTCTGCCCTTTTTTTGAGGCGGGGGATAAACACATTTTTTATTTTACTTTTACCTTTTATTTATTTTATTTTGATACATCATTATTCACTTTTGTACAATATCTGATTTCTCCCCTCGGGTGAAAATTCTGTCTTCTTCATCATACTCTCATTTGTCTCTTCCTCTCTATCCCTATAAACATTGACTGCCCTGAGCAGGCACTGCATCTATTCTCATCTGCAATATTGCCACATCCTCCTAAATTACTCCCCTGCTCCCATCTTGCCTTTCTGCCTCGCTCCCAGCCTTCCTTCCACAACTGACCATTTTGGAATTTGATACCCACCTGCCCATGTCATTCTTGTGTCCAAAATCCTTTGGTGACTTCTTGTTGCCTGTGAGTTAGAACCAAACTCCTTACAATGTCCTATAAGACCTGGCTTTGCCCTCCTTGGGCAACCTCATTCCCTCTGCTATTTCCCTTGAGCCTTGTGTTCCACGATTTAACACACATGTGTTCCCTCAGGTCTGAGTACCAAGACTGTGCTCAGGTGCTTCTTCCTTTTCTCCTCTGTGCAACAACCCCCACACCCCATGCACAGCACGTGTGCATATCTGTGTACTTGCACACACACGTGTTCACCTCATCCACGCAGTGATTTCTCTTTATTCTTTCAGACTCAGCTCCTAAGATGCCTTCTCCATAAATCTCTCACAATCGCATTTAGGTGCTGCTTCCTCTTCTCTGGCATTGCCTTTTCATACCTGTGAAGAAACACATCTTTTTTAAGTGGGATTTTCTCTTTGCAAAATGTCTTTCAGATGGTAAGGTCCATGAGACAGGAAACATAGTTATTTTGTTACTGCTGCATCCCTAGATTCTGTACAAATTCGTAAATCTTTGTTAAATGAATAAGTGAATGGCTTATTGAAATGAATCTATTTTCAAAGTAGATTTCACAGTCTGGGAAACATTTTGTCCTCATACCTTTCCATTGTGAGATGTATCTACCCAGAGATTTGTGCTACAATGGGGCTTTAGTTGGAAATAGACTCTATAGTGGTTAATAATGAAGACTCTGAAGTCACATTTCCTGGGTTTAAAACTAATCTTTGACAAAATAAAATAAATAAAATAAAACAAAACTAAGCTTTTCCATCTGGTAGCAGTGGGTCCTTAATAAGTCACCATCTCACTAAGTCACAGGTTTCTTTAAAATAAGCTGAGTTAATAATAAAACCTACCTTACAGGGTTAATGTGAAAGTTAACAAAAAAAAGCACATGTGGAGCCTTTGATGGCTGGCACAGAGCTAGTGCTCAATCCACACAAGCTATTATTAGTAGCTATTTTCCTGACAGCTTCATTTGACCCCAATGTGTCACCATCACTTTTTAAACCAAATGTCTGTAGTCTGGTTCTCAAATGTGGGTACTCAATCTCAGCAGGCTTTGGGTTTGCCTTACTAGTGGGTCACCCTGGATACAGGGCCTTGGGGAATATGGATGCACATGGTGTCTAAACCAAGGGTAGCCTTTTGCTTGTAAATCATAATTTGTTGCCTAGAAACTAAAAGTAAACATTGCCAACAAGCCAGAAGATTACTGAATTCTTCAAAATTCTCACCCTTCTGGACCCTGTCTCTCCTTTGTATTTGGTAAAAGGGGTGATCGGTACAGGCAAATGTGCAGCAATTTTCCTCAGAGGAAAGGAAGCAGGATGAAAAAACTCAGGGAAGGTGTGGGGTGTTTTGTTCCTTCTGTTGACTGTACAAAGGTATACAAGAAGCAACCTCAGGTAAACATAGTTCCCAGTGTTTCCCACATACAGCTGGAAGAAATGCCTTCCTTTCAACTCTCATGCACAAGGAGAGGGTTGTAATCTCTATTTCAGACTCGAGTTTTCAGATCAGGATTCAAACAGCTTCCTTTAGAGGTCTTAATAGCCTTGAACTAAATGGCCAACATTATAAATTACAAGATTATCCTCCAAATGTGTGTGCCAATGAAATGAATGAAGAGTGACATGGAAAAGAACAAGATGATTCTTCAAAAGGATTCAAAGGCTCATATCAAATCACTTTCTAAAGAATTAAGAAATAACATAATTTGAGGTCAAGGATAAGCTCTTCTTTTGACTGTATGATCCATTATAATTATTCTAAATGCGGCTATTTTAGCAGTGCTATCATCCTGGACACTTTTCTGAGGGAGCTGGCATTTCTGGTTTAAAGGAATGAGGTTGGACAACAGGTGTTAACAAAAAAAGAGTTGATTTAAAACGCAGCCCTACCATCTGCCCAGGAGCAGATATGATCTATGCCAAAAGCAGAAGTGGGTTTTCCAAATGGATTAATCAGAAAATTTGGCCACCTAGGTGGGTGACAAAAAGAATCATATGAGAAAGGTTATAGTCCCTCACCTAATACCTGCACTTTCACTTCATTTTTTAAATTATTGCTTTTTTAAGATTTATTTTACTTATTTTATGCATGCAAGAGCTGGGATGTAGGCCAGAGGTGTGGGCAGGGGCTGTGTGTGAGAGGATTCACCAGAGACAGAGTTAGGAGCAGAACAGGCAGATCTACTGAAATACACAGCTAAGGGGAGCAGTGGGTGGAGACAGGTCTGCTGTGCCATATCGGTTAGCTCCCTGGCAGGGGATCAAACTCCTTGTGCTACAGTGGCTGCCAATAGCTTCATAGTGCTGAGACTTAACCCCTTGCACCACCAGGGAGGACTTCCACTCCCCTTTTTAAACAAACATTCCCTGAGAGGACTGAGAAAACTCCTTCCGGGCAGAGACCTTGCCTGTTTACTGCCAGCTCAATGCCTGGTTCATTAAGACTTGCTGAAAAATGTTTGCCAAATTTAATATTTGCCAAATTCCCTGGAAAGAAATATGAAATGTTTAGAAAGTGCATACAAGATAAAGGATAGTTATAATCCATCCATCCTACAAATAATCCTCTTCATTTGCCACAGAGTCACATGCATTTTGTTACTTTGAATAACAAATATCCATGCCTTGCCTTCACCATAGCTGAAGCAACATTAGTCAAAGTTTCTTTAGCTCTGTGGTTCAGGGTCTGGGCACTTGGTGTGCATTATCTCACTTAGTCCTCACAACAACCCAGCCTTCTTTTATAGATGAGAAAACTGGGTCAAATAGGTCACAAGAGCTTGGAAACCTGTTATAACCCCAATAGGTCTGTTAGTTTCCCACCCACAATCTTGAAAGATATTTATAAGTATTTATAAGTGGAGTACATCCTGTTTTATCAACTCTGGCTTTTTCAGGTGAGTCTCCCTCAGGCTAACCTTGGGTCTACCCAAGGCAAGATGGATTATCTGATACATTGGACACAACAGGTCTAAACCAGTTATCTGACCTTTTATTTGCAAAATGACTATTCACTCCCCCTAGTTAAAAAAAAATTCCCTTCTGTTCCTCCTATAGCTAGTGCCCCAGAGGGTCAGTGGCTGTCCCTTTCCTCAGTCTTCTCCCTGTAGATGGCTGGCATTCTCACTGGCAAGCTCTTTCTTTTATAATATCATTGAAATATAAAATGAAATGAAACCTGAACCTTGGGTATGACTTGTCACCATGGAAACAACTTCAAGCCTGAGTGCCTCCAAGAGCTGTAGAGCTTTTCTTCCAAAGGCTCTGGAAATAAGGGACTGAGAGCTGGAGAAAGCTAAAACAAGCTCTGATTAGATTAGTGGCAGTTTTGCTAATAAATACAGAATGTTTAATATTGGATTATGTCATCAGCAGCAGCACTGTCAACCTATATTCTCAATTTTCAGTAGTGTGCTGGCTTAGTGCAGAAATACCAGCCAAGTGAACGACAGCTCAAATCACTCACTGTTGGGAGGATCATTTTAAACTCTATTAAGGTGGCTCAAAGAATGTGGTGGGGAAAAATACATAAACAGTAATAAATTTCAAGAACATTCTGTCGAAGCATTTTTTGCTTCTGGGAATGGGAAACCAAAATTTTCCCAAGAGGCTCCATTATTAAAGCCATAAATAAAACATCCCTGATTTGACTCCTTGGTTTCTTAACTTTGGAGAAATGGCTCAGAAATGGAGGCAATGGCCCAGGAAGTTTGAGGGCGAGTGAGTCTGAGGGCGCTCTGCTTCCCTTGCCACTTGTTGCCTGCATATGAGACCACAATATCAGGATAATGAGCAAATTTTACTTTATTGAAGATCAGCAAAGAGGGTTACTCTAAACATTTCAAACAGGATCCTAAAATTCAAGGATGTTTTTCTAGCTCACACCCTTCCTTTTTTCTTTCCATGAAGGCACACACTCTCCTCTACAAGTTAAAGCAAGCAGGGTGATGCAGGGGATACTAGCCTGATTGCTTAGGTGCCCCGGTTCCAGGTCCAGGTTTTGTTATTTACTTGGTTCATTACCAAGAGTTGGTTATTTAGCCTCCGGGGTGTCAGTCTCCTCCATAAAGGTGGGTTAGAGGGATGAATGTTGGATCCTGACTACACTAAGTCCATTATACTAAGTTCCAATCACTCAGCAAAAGAGAATGTAATGTCACTTGCTAAAGTCTATTTGATCTGGGCATTGTGCTTATATGTGCTTATGTGCACCTCATAATTTGTGTGGTTGCTGGTATCCACAATTCACAAATGGTAACTAGTCCTTGAGAATTGTGGTGAATTCCTTAAAGTGATCAATGCATAAGCATGCAATTAGGCCTCAAATACCCATCTATCCAAGTCCAAAGACAACTTTCTTTCCACTTGACCCTGTTAATTGCTGAGCATGATAAACCATTAACAAGATTTTAATTTAAAATAAATATACCTAAAGTTCTAATTTTCATAGAATGCACTAATAATGCCTTGTAAAGTTCAGTTTCTAGCTATTTCACTCCTTAAAATGATCCCACATCACTTGGGAATTAGAAGTATCTTCATGTGACATGAAGTCTGGGACTATCTCCAATGGCCCCATAGAGAGTCATAGTTAGGGAGAATTAGTTACTAACATGTGGGCAATTCTTTAAATTTTTGTCTTTTAAATCAGTCTGAACTAAAAGTAACATCATTTTGCCCTTCAAAAGTAATATATAATCATAATATTAGCAATTAACAGGCCTGAAATCTTCTAAAATAAAGTTGTAAGACAACAACTCTTTCTCAGTTCTAAATTCGTGGCTTCCAATGGAAAAGCCACGATTTCCATTTCATGAAAGAAAGAATAAAACATGAGAGAACAAAATAGCCAGCATTCGTGGCATTTTGGGTGTGTGCTTCGTCAGATCTGCCAGAAAATTTCCTATTTAGTAGTTATTCCTATTTCCTGAATGGCCAGCTGGGTCCACAGATAGGGCTGTGGGTTTCGGAATCAGAACAAAGGTTTAAAAATCCCCAGCTCTTCCACAGGCATTTTATTTATGCATTCTGAATCTCAGTTTCCTTTTCTGTGAAATGGAGTTATTTGCTTCACATGACAGTTGTGAAGGTTAAAAATTAATGTACATAGAGCAAGTACAATAGTCTTCTCTACTCCACTCCCAGGTCAAGACCTGAGCAAGTGTATAATAGTAATCACTTTATTATTACTCCTTGCTGTGTGCCAGGCACTGGGTTGGGCCCTTTCCAAAGATGACCTTTCATGAAGGGAAACCAACATTTATTTATTTTTGTTTTTTTGGGTTTTTTTGTTTTTATTTTTTTAATTTATTTTTTTAAATTTAAATTTTATTTTTATATTCCCCATACAATTGCAACCCCCTTATTTTGACTCCAAACCCTCCTTTCCCCACCCCTACCCCCCATAGAGTGTCTCTTGTTCATAGCTGTTTGTTGATTTTGATTTTTACTTTCTTATAGTTATTCTTTTTCCTGGTCTCTTATTTAAGTTTTCTAGATTCCTGCTATGAGGGAGACCATCCGGTATTTTTCTTTTTCTTTCTGGCTTATTTTGCTGAGCATGATCCCTTCCAGCGCCATCTATGTTGCTGCAAATTGCATGTGTTTATCTTTTTTGAATGCTGAGTAATATTCCATGGTGTATATGTACCACATCTTCTTGATCCAGTCATCTATTTTTGGGCATTTGGGTTGGGGAAACCAGTATTTAAAACTGCTGCTCTATCTGCAGTTTGCCCCTGTGCCCTGCTTTAGGCACGAACATTTATTGGGTTCAGATTTAAGGATTTATGAGCAATTGCTTCTGCAGGAAACAGCTGCCTGGGAGGGTCAGGGATGATGTGCCAGTATATTTGGCCAACAGAAGGGTGGGCCATGCATA